AATTCTGCACGGGAGTCGATATTATGTTCATATGAATAAAAGTATAAATAAAACAGCGTTTTGTTATCGCATTTATAGATTCTTTAAAATATTTATCCATCTTGGAAATGGGGTTAATGTACTCCTAAAGATCTGGTCAGGAAGTAAAGGCAGGAGTAAAAATAGTTCAAAATTACATGGAACTACTGGGAATGGAGAGAGCGATGCTCGGTATTTCCCTATGTGACAGAATCAAAAATGAGGAAATCCGTAGGAGAACTAAGGTACCCGACATAGCTCGAAGAATTGATCAACTGAAGTGGCAGTTGGCGGGGCACATAGCAAGGAGAACCGATGGCCGTTTGTCAGTGGGACCCCACCAGGTGGACCGACGATCTGGTAAAAGGTCGCGGGAAGCCGATGAATGCGGGCTGCGCAAGACCGATCGTCGTGTAGATCGTTGGGGAAGGCCTATGCCCAACAGTGGGCGTCGTATGAGTGAATGATGATGATGACTGGGAATAAACGAAATTATAGTTAAAATTGTCGATAGTTTTGCAACGCTAAACGCGACTAACGTGAGTGGGTGGTTGTTTTTACTTAATGGCCCCAAACCGCTAGTCATGACATGAAAGCTAGTTTACTTTTTGTTCTCCTCTTTGAATTAATGATTGTAGTTACTTTGTTTTGTTAATAGCACACAAGCCTGAATAGACAAGACTACATGTGAAGTGGTAAAAAGTGAAACACTTGCATTTTTAACCGACTTAAAAAACAAGAGGAGGTTCGCAATTCGACTGTACTTTTTTTATATGCATGTTACGCGATAACTCCAGATTTGTGCACCGATTTTGATGATTCTTTTTTTGTTGAACAGAAGGTAGGTACGTCAGCTGTGGTCCCTTTTAAATTTGGAGAAAATATTCCACCTCTAAGGGAGGCAAACTAGGGGATGAATTCGGTTTCCCTCACTTTCCGGTAACCGACTTTAAGAACACTTGGCAAATAGATGTAATGCCACGCACTTCTGAAGGCTTTTTTTTATAAAAAAGTTATCAATTTTCTGTTTTACGTAATATTTTATGGTACAAGAAAGAAAAGTAAACCTTAAACCGATGCAATATGGTTGCTTCTTTTTTGGAGAATTAAGTAAACATCTCAAATTCGTCGTTGTTCAGCGATTAACCGTTAGATGGCAGCACATTGATAAATATTCCAATATAAAATCAGAACGTCGTATCTTGCAATAACAGGTACTGAGTTTTCAAAGATATGCCATCAGAGTAAAGTTTAAATTATAATATTACAAGTCCAGAATTTGTTATTTCTTTTTAAATTTAAAACTACGACCAATCAATATCAAGATTTTGTAGTGTTTCAAATTTATGAATGTGTGAGTTCTGATATGTAGCAATCGAGGCCTAAGGCACTTTTCATCTTCGGTGCCCATGCCACTCATCTCCAACCGTGCTACAGACCGAATATTGTTGAGTGTTTATTGAAAAAAAAACCGAAATTAATAAATAGAAACTATTAATAAAAAGTTTATGAAATAAAAAAGTGTTCGAACTAAAAATCAACTTTAAACCACTCGACAAATTTGCGTTAGTAGGAAATTTTATGAAAAAATAATCTCAGTACAGAGTACAGAGTACTAAAAAAACCGACTTCAAAAGTTCATGGAAATTATATCTATTTGCCAAGTTTTATTGATAGCTGTTGCCTGAAAGTGCGCGAATATTATCTTCAAATTTAAAAGAGACTACTACTGAAGTATCCTCTTTCCAACAAAAAAAGAATCATCAAAATCGGTTCACAATCGGCCGGAGTAACCGCGTAACATATCCTTTTTTTTAAGTCGGTTAAAAAATGGCAGTCGACTAATTTTTATTTTCAAATTTGATCTTTGTAAATCTGAACAGCTGTTGATTAAACTTATCTAAGGTATCTTTTGCTTTCTTTTGGATTTATATCCCGTTTCTTCTGGGGTCGGTAGTTCCAAATACCCGTTTAGTAGCAATAGAGCTCCTTGTTAAAGAGTTCGTCCAGGGAAGTCCTGCCACTGTCTGCCACCTTATCTATTCCTGCCGCCAAGCAGTAGTGTGAGCATCACTGCGTTCCGGTTTTCCGGTTCCGGAAATTACACGCACATGGGACTTGTCAACTTATGTCTCAGGGTGACAGGCGCAGCGGCAATCATATCTTTGCGATTTAAAGCTCTGTATGGCGCTGCAACTGTTATGGACAGGCGTGTAGCTTACCGTGCTTTATTTATTTATTTTATTTTTTTATTTATTTAATTTCCTTAACAATATTCTTTGTGTTGGAAAAAAGAAAATACAATTACAATTAAAATCTAACATCATATCCAAATAACCAAACGAAAATAAATTAATATATTAACTAGTCATTAGTACAAAATAATTATAATAATACAATAACAATAACGGTGTCAAATTAAATGTCATCGGCATGGTTCAATACAAATTAAATGCAAAATAATAACAATAATACAATAATGTCAAATAATAATAATCAATAACAATGTCAAATTATGAATCCTTATCCTCGTTAAATACAATTTAATTTAATGTCACAACAAATTCATCAATACAATAAAATGATTTTTCCAATAAGAAACGTTTCAAACGCTTTTTGAAAGATACGTGATCTTGTACCATTTTAAGTTCACTAGGGAGACTATTACATATTTTTGTTGTTTGGTATCTAGGGCTATGCTTTATAATATTTAACTTTGGAGCTATTACATCACGTCTATCCTTTCTCCTAGTAACAAGCCTGTCTGACTCGATCTCCTTGTTAAATTCAGACGAACATTCAGTCACGCCTGTTAACAACTCCAAAATATAGAGACAAGGAACTGAAAATAAGGTCTACACGACTCCCAATGTGGAATTCTAGCTATGGTTCTTATTGCTCTTTTCTGAAGAGTGAAGGCTTTCTTTACATTATAGTCATAGCTGTTTACCGTACGTATAAAGTACATAAGACCTAGATTCTGTATCTATTCCTCGATTTTCATTTAAAACAGCGGATTTTAATGTATTTAATAATAAAAACTGCATTACCTAATCTTTAACTGTTTAATAATTGAACAAACCTACATTATGTTGTATATTGTGGGAAAAAATACTCAGCTGCGCTTCGGTGGGGAAGTTCTTCCGCCTACTTGTGCGCGCCGAAAATTTTTCTTTAAAAATAAGGTACATTGCAACTCCCACATCTGGCAATACTGAGCATATTTGTGATAATAATGTTCCAAAAAACGTTCAATCGTTACTCTCAAGAAAAAAGTTATCGAAAGCACTATGTAACTTTATATTTAACACTGTGAACGAAATGTAAAGTGTTTTAATTTTACTTTGTAAGTATTATATTTCGTTATAAAAGTGATAATTTTGACGATTGGCTGAAAAGGGCAAAGTATCCAGAGCGGTAAAATCCAATAAAAAAAACTTCAAGCTGTCATCTTTCGTCTATGGATTTTCTAGGTACTAAACCCTAGTGGCCGCCATTAAGGAAATAGAATAGAATACTATTATTAAAAATGTAATTTTATAATATGAATATACTGGACATGCTAAGTGAAATGAGGGCAGTAATGTCCATCATCCCTAAAGTTTTTATTTCTGTGAAATTAGTTTTCCACGAAGACGTCGCATCTTATAAATCGCTGCTAACAAAGTCGCTCTCCAAAGTGAGGGTGCACTCTATTCTTCAACTTTCCATTGTTCCATCTAAAAGCATTGTCTTTGAAAGCGGGAAATAAATTCGCGATTTCAAACGCCTTTCCTTTCTGTTAAAAGTCGCAACAAATATCTTCATAGGTTTGAATATTTTCGTAAAAAAAACATTAAATAAACCAAGTTAAATAAACAGCTATGTATAAGGAAAAAAATCTTGTTACAAAGTTTTTCCATTCCTCGTTATGGTGT